CAAACTTATGGTCTTCGGGAAACCAGGCAGGGGAAAGGAGAACATACATTCATTCACAAACATAGAAGAGACAAAGGCATTCATTCGTACATAAAAGGCCCGAAGGCATATCATTCATTCAAGGGAAGAAAAAACAATTGAGATACGAAAGATGTTTTGTTCACAGATGGCCGAGGCCAGAAGTTGCTAAACTATTACAAGGAAAATTTTCCTAAGTGTCAACTACTTGGTCACCCTCCTCGGCATCCTTCGAAGTCGCGCCATCCCCAGCCTCTTCCTCATCTCCACCACATTCCCTAAGCAACTCGGAGTCGTGAAGGATGGGCCTCTCTTCTCCCTCCGGGAGGGGGACCCTGACATCAGGCTGCCGGGGGGGTAGGCCATAAGCTGCAGGGTCAAAACTCTCAGGAGGGATGTTGAAATGTTGGGCAAGCTTCCGGTATATGAGGCGCTGCGTGAAGAACTCTCCTCCCTGCCAATAGGCATTGCCCTTCGAGGCCAGCCACTCAGAGCCGGGGCCCTTGACCCATTCGTCAACTTCCGCCCCCACGACCGCAGACCTCCATGCCTTCTGGTCTTCTGCCCTCCACCCTTCGGAGACAAAGGAGGCGACGGCATCTTCTCTGGCCTTAGAGACAGCCTCGGCTTTAGCATTCTCGGCCTCCTCGGCCGTCTTCTTAGCGGCCTCAGCCGCAGCCTTCTCCGCATCAGATTTGGCCTCGGCCTTGGCATCCTCAAGCTTTTTTGCCGCGCCCTCCCTTTCAAGCCGGAGGGTGTCCCTAGCATCAGCCAACTGCTTCTTGGCCTCAGTAAGCTCTTCGGCCAGCTTTCTCATGCCATCATCAGCTTGGCCTTTGGCAATTCTTAAAGCTTCCACCCTTCGGGCTTGTTCATTGAAACCGAGGGCCGCCTGCCAAGAGATAAGAAACAGAAGGGGTTAGCAGATCTAAAGCTTGCGAATGAGAAAAAATGGCTAAGCGGAAGGAAGACTCACCATGGTGCTGTAACTGGCTATCTTGTAGTCGAGAACGTCGTCCTCAAGACGAGATAGCACCAGCCTGTCCTTCGGCGACATAACCCCCCTCATAAATTCAAAGGGGTTGAGGGTGGAGTGCATCACCGCTGTCCCCTTCTGGATGGGGAAGTGGATAACCTCCTTCTCCCGAAGGTCCTCGTCAACGTGAGTTGAGGGAGAGCGAGGGGGAGTGATCACCGGGGCCTGCTCATCAATGATCACAAGGGGGGCCTCTCCCTTCTCGGCTCCCCCCTTCTTCTGCCTCTTCTCCGGAGGCGCAGTGCCCTTCCCGGCTCTTTTCTTTTTCTGCCTCTCGGCAGCGGAACCCCCGGCGTCAGAGCCAACGACTTCGTCAGCAGCAGCGGACTCCTTCTTAGAAGGCCCCTCGTCCACTGGGGCCTTGGTAGTGTCTGCCTTCAGAAAAAACTCGTCGACAGGCTTCTGGGTAGAGGGCTTCCCCGCTTTCTTCTTTTGCTCCTTGTCGAGCTTATTCCTCAACATGGTGATGGCCTTCAGATCCATGGCAGGTCCTGCAAGAAATGAAAGAATTAGGCTCACAACTTAAAAGGAAAAAATATATATATATGCTAAGTACAAATGCGTGGAGCCCTCGGCAACAACCTCCGGCACTCTGAGGAACCATGTCGATAAGGGGGTATCTTTCATCCTCCTCCCCGAAGCGGCGATGTCGCTTGAAATTCAACTTGTAGAGCTCGTCCGGAAGGATGACTTCTTTAATGGTCACTTGCTTGTCCGAACCCTCTGGTTTCGCTGACAACTTCTTCCCATCTTTTTGAAGGGCGGCACTCCCCACTTTCAAATGCCTCCGGAAGCGATCTTTGGGAGGCTCCGGAAAGGGATTCGCTGCCATGCGGATGTAACAAAATTTGTCTTTCCACCCCTTGTGCGAAGAGGGGACCTCGGAGAAAAGCCTCCACTCTGGTACTTGTTGTAGATTGGCAAACCCCTCGGCATGAGTGTGCCCCCCTCGGCATAAATTGAAGCATAGAAAAAACAGGTCCAACGAGGGATCGACCTTCCGAGAACGGCAGAGTGACAGGAAACCAGCGATGTAGGAGTGGCTGTTGGGCGTGAGCTGACAAGGGACCAACTTCACGAACCTCAAGTACTCCAGCAGAAAAGGGTGAAGGGGAAAGCGGAGGCCCAGTTCCAGAGACAGCAGGTGAACCGCAAAGCAGCCTTCGGGAGCTTGCGAGAGGATGTCGTCTGGCTTCGGCTCTATGACACGCGCCTGGGGCCCGACGAGGAACTGAGCCGTCAGATACTCCGATTGGAGGGCCCTCGATTTCAAAGCTAGGGCGGCGACGTTCAGGTAAGAATAGCCCTCGGGGATGCCGACGGGTTTCCCCGCATCCACTGCGGCCTCTTTCTTCTTCTTATGGCCGGCCCCCGTCTTTTTCATCCGCTTTCCAGGGGCGACACTGATGGGTTCCGGATCTAGGGGCCGGGAGCTACTAGCTTCGCCGGCACCACGAAGGGGGAGTCCGGCAACGGTCACCTTCAGCCGTTCTTTCTCCTCCTCTTCCTCGGCTACTTGAAGCGCGAGAGCAAGCTCCTCATCTTCCACCACTTGCTCGAATTCTTCCGCTTCCAGCTCAGTCCGGAGATTACTCTGCACCTCCTCGGCTACCGCGGCATCATCGCCAGCCGATGACTGTCCAGTCGAGGACTCCACCTCCGAAATGCTCTCATCTTGTACCGAAGGCGCCCTCGAAATATCCTGCGAATCACTCTCGGAGGACATGTTCCCAACGGGGAGAAACTTTTGCCGAAGGCTCCTATGAATGCACTAACACTAAATCTAAGGGAATAGCAGGAAACGCTAAGTACGCGAGTAGCAGGAGGATGCACTAACCTTAGGGGAGGATTTCGATCGAGGACTGAAGTTTCTCTCACTAAAAAATTGGGCAGAGCTTCGCTAGAGAGATTGAATGCGCAAACGAACTGAGCTCCGCCTTGGGGTATATATAGGCAACTGGGCCTCGAAAAATGGGCCTCGATTTGAAAGCCCATCATTACGGGCCGCCGGTTCAGCCAATGGGTGACCCCCGCCCAATGCCAGCCAACGGCAGCCGGCCATGTCAACCCCTCTCCCAACGGCTATATTTCAACGACTATATTTCGGCAACGCTGGGATGCCCCCGAGTGGTAGCCTCCGGCTATCGCTCACCACACCCTTCTGCCGGCAAATTTCACCAAACGCCTTCGATCCCGTAGCAGCGTAAGCCTTCGGCTCCTCAACGTTACTACCCCTCGGGGGCTCATCAATCCATCATAACTCCTTCAGCCCGAGCTCGCCTTCGGCCTAAAGGAGTGGGGGACTGGGATACACCCCTCGGGGATCATATACAACAAAAAATTTCTTGGAAACAAACAATTTACAATTGACGCGTGTAGCCTCCGGGCATCATAGCAGAAACCCCCCGGGTGCATGCTCCAATATACCCTTCGGCAGGGGCAGGATATCACAAATTTTCTACAAGTCACTCGCGGAAATAAAGCAGCCCTCATCACAACACACGCAGGCAATACGTCTATGCTTCCCTCAGAGAACCCTCGACATATGAGGGACTGAGGGGAGCCCCCGGCAAACATACGGAGGTCATGAATACCTTCCTTCAGAAAACCCTCGACCTGTGAGGGACTGAGGGAAGCCTTCGGCAATCAGCAGAAGACGAGTTCTCCAGCAAAAGCACCCAGCGGAATGATGAAGCCTCCAGAAGAAGCAACACATCTACTCCTTTTCCCTCAAGCACCTTTCGGCAAAAGGAGTGAGGGACTCCTGATGGAGTATATGGGCCAGGAACCCCCGGCCCATAGACTCCTACTTCTCCTACACAAGTCCATTAAGCTCAGGAAACGACTCCGGCCCAAATACAACGGCCCAAACCTCAAAGTGGCCCAGAATACACACTGGGGTGCCTTCGGTCTCCATGACCGAAGGCTCCAGAACTCACAGGATGGCCCTTTTTGGCATAAGAAGCTGCTGGGAGAAAACGGGCGAAAACATAAGCCTTCGGGATTCTCATGCCTTCGGGTGAACCACGCCCCGGCTACACGAGGAGCCCTCGGCTACACGAGGAGCCCTCGGCCACACAAGGAGCCCTCGGCTACACCGGGAGCCTTCGGCTGAACTAGCTCAATCATCGAAGATTCCTTTTAGAGACAGCCAACCACCGCATTTAATGCCACGTCACATCCGCCAACCGCATTCAATGCGGTTGACGTACCACTGCCGGTGCCACCAGGCTGATGTGACCCTTCGGCCGTTGGATTACTGACACGTGTCCTCTCATCGCATTTATTGCTGCTATAAATAGCAGCCCATTTCTCCTTGTAAAAAACACAATCGACATCCCGATTACACACACTGAGTTCATTTAATAAAATTGACTCTCTCTCCTCCTATTTGCTCTGACTTCTCTCTAAGTTATTCTCGTAATAACCCCTCGGATAAGATACCCCCCGGGTGGACTATCCATCAATACTATAATAAAAAAAATTGTTCAAGTCATGGATTTAAAGTCAAGTTAAGGATATTAATTTTTAGAACGTGTAATTGTTGATGGTTGATTTGATACACATTAATAGATTCCATATCTTTAAGTGACAATACCTTCTCAACCTACATTGATTTTTTAATAAACAATAATAAAATCTAAAAGGGTCTAATTTAGGGACATAGGAAGTGTAAATAAGTATTTTCTTCCCATGATCTACCAATGCATTGCAAAAAACTTTGATCTCCCATTCAGTGGGTGCATATTAAATTTCAAGGTATCGCAAGGTATCCCAATTAGTCATCTTTGTTGCCTTTGTTTTGGCTATAATGATAGCAGCAAGATTATGCTTTATTTTTATAATTGGGCATAATAAGTGAACACAAAAAGTGTATTCCCGTTTTGTTCTCTCTGTGCCCTTTTTTAAGGCTTCCTACTGTTCTCTAAATCCCCATACCCCAGCTGCATTGTTAGAAAAGGTTAAAAACCAAATTGAATAACATTGTATCATTCTATGCAAAAGAGAGGGTATGAATCAGGTATTGAGGACCTCTTCATTTTGATTTGGGTTTTGTGGTCATTCACCTTATCCAAATTCAAACCCAATGGTAAGAATGAATTTTTCCTCAATTGCTATCAATTATGACTTTTTTATGCTAGACATCTAAAAAAAATTGAATTTGATTTTGAGGACATATAAATAATTATGCAGAGTATTAATTATGTTTGTATGTTAAAATAATCTGCCTATTAATACTATGAAGATGCTAAAAATAATTCCTATGTTGCCTGAAAATGACTTCTTTTTTACCTTGGTTGGTTTAACATTTTCTATTTCTGGCGTAACTATATGTGTTCAAAGGTGAGACATGCAGAATCTCATTCTTGCTCTAGGACTTGAAGTAAACTTATTCATTTCTTATACATAGTTCCAGTTTTTCTAGGGTTCTTTAATTTCATTTGTGGACTTTTTTCGGGTTTTCAGGATTCTTTTCTTCATTTTAACGAGAGGATTTAAGAAAGAAGGTCTGTGTTAGATTTGCATTTATGATGGCAAACTCATTGTAGAAAAATATGCAGCTCACAGTTGTTAACTACTTACAGAATAATCAACCATATGCTGCATACCATATTCTCAAAGGTATGCCGATGAGTAGGTAAACTACCCGCCGACAAGGTGTATATCCCAGTGTACATGTCGATAAGATAACATAATTATCACGTTTTCTTTGTTTTGTAATGCATTCAATAGTTTTCTAACATTTGGGTATCATCATCCTCACCTCCTTGATACTAAACATCTTCAAGTGTGTGGAATCAAATTTGGTTAAAATTAGGTGAACACTGTACATTAATAGAAAGCATAAGAAACAGAATTGAGTTGAAAAGTTGTGTATGGTCATGGCCTATTATTAGATTAAAACTGTAAAATCATCAAATGCATTTGTGACCAACGAAAAACCTTAATTATTTTTTATATGGGTCAGGTGGTCTCTGTCAAGGGTAAGGGAGAAGGAGAAGATCTGGAGTGCATTTGTCTGACCCAGAAAGGCTAGCAAGGGGGTGAAGGAGGAGGGTTCTTTGTTGAGCTTAATTAACTATCATGGAACTCCAGACAAGCCATAGTAATATGAGATATCCTTATTTAGCAATAAGATAGCAGATAAGAAGACTACCATGCGGATGAGGTGCGAAGAGGCATTTGGCAGTCCAGAGAAGATCATACAGGTTCCCGTTCAGTTCTTCCTCGTTCTAGAGAGTTCAGGTAGCTTGTTCAGTTGATTCAGCGGATATGTAAGTAGAAGTTTCTAAAAAGACTCAAAGTCAAGACTCTTGCCGCGTTTATTAATAATAAGGGTACATAAGGAATTATAAAAAAGATTTCTACTATCCGAAAACATATGGTTGTGATTATTAGCAAATGGGTGTGTGTAAATAGAATTTCCCAAAAAGTAAATACGAAGTAGTTTGGTTGCAGAAAGGTAAAAAGTAAAAAGATCAATTTGCATCTTTTTATGCATAAACTCTATTTAATGCTCTAAAACTACCTTCCAATAAAACTAATTCCTTAAAAGTGCAGGAAGAAAAGTCAATAAGGCATTCTTGATTATCTTCACCTCATTATCTTCTCCTTATGTTTTGAAATACAGAGCCTTCTATTGAAAGGTAATGTATCATGTGTGTTAGTTTTTCATAAGTAGCATGTCTAATGTGTTTGGGTTAAAGAGTAGTTCACTATAAACGGTTGTTGAAATTATTGTGCCTGAAACCATGCAGTACATAATAACTGTGCTTATTTCTAAATATCAATATTTTTTGTTTTCGAGATCGGGGTGTTTTCATTTAAATGTGATATGGTTTTTGCCTAGCAATTTTTAGGTGAAATCAAAGTTATTCAAAATCACATTATTATTTACTCCATATAGTTCCATTAAGCCTGAGAGATGAATTTTCAGGGTTGTCCAAATTTTGAATTATCTGTCCCTAAATTTAGGTGTCATTTTGAATGAAAAAATAATATTTGTTTAGCATAAAAATAGTTAAAAACACAGTGGGTCACCCAGTGTCTTGGTATTGTTCACTCTGCGGATCACCCATTAGATAAACTTTTGAAAATTTTATATTCATGTCATTTTGCGTGGGAATATTTTTTGCCATATATATGGTCACGCAAGGGACATGTGATGTTTCTTTGCTATATGGTAACAAGTCTTCTTCAAATTTGGACAAATCCGTATCTGAAGTCCTAATTGAACCCCTAGAAATAATTCAAAGATTTTAAATTTTTCATGGAACACACACGGGTAACTAATTTAATCATTTGATGTGTATAGTCCTTTTCTTTTACTATAACATCAAACCTAAAAAGCTTATAAGCGAATTCGTAATTTTAATTATACCAATCAACAATTTATGCATATATTAAGGCTATAAAGTTTATATTGGGCATTTATCTATCGCGCAACGCGCGTCGCATAACTAGTCATGAAATAAAAAGTAAAAATGAACATTCATTTCTTATAAAATAAAAAAGAGGGTATAATACATTGTCATATTTCAAAACGAAATGTAACTAATATGTAATCACAATACTTAATGACCAAAAGAAGAAAGTCTTACATATACTTTCTTTTCCAACAATAACTATTACATTTCATCTTAGACCACATACTATTTTTGTATTACAGATTATCTTGATCCACCTGCTTCCTTCGGTATGCATACATCTTTATTGTTTTTTCTTGTACTTATCCAAGCATTCTTTCAAAACTTCACTTACTTCTTTATCGAGCATTAGACACTCAACGAACTTTATGACAAATGTACCACAATTTCCCTACAAAATCATGTGTTTTTAATATAAAATGTAAACATACATAACATATTAGGATTTGTGATTAAATTAATATTAAATATCAGCCCAACATGGCTACATAGCTATCATCCTGTTATGGACAGTTATGCCACATATTGATACGATTTTTCCTATTTTCAATCTTTTTTCTTGGACACTTTTCACAAGCACCTATATTCTCCATCACTTTTGATAAGAAAATGTCCGAGCAAAGTGTGAAAGACATAATGTCGACAGTAAATCCGGTCTTTCCAAGTCTTCTTCAACTTTTTTACATGATTTTCTTCTATTAAAACAAGTAGTTGTCCATTCATCCATTCTAGATTACATATTCCCAACAATCTATGACATTTGATTTTCAACATTGTTCAAATTGCTCTTCATTTAATAGTCGCTTTATGATTTCAAAGGCATTATGCACATTGAATAACAATTCATTTTTAGCTTCTTTTATGTTATAAGAAAATGATGTGTATAAGATCTTGCAGTTGCCTGACATATTGATAATGATTATTATATAAGTACTATACTCATAACTGGGCAAAACGATTGAATTTACAAACTCTTGTTTACTGTCTTATGGTACAAGTAATATATTCTCTACATATAACATCATCTAATTCTTACTCCGATTTAATAATGCTCCATATATTGATTAAGAATACATAGTAATTTATTTTTGAATTTACCCAGCCACCACGTGCTCAAGTACATAAACAAGCAGTAAAAGTACTCCCTTAGTTCTCTATACTCTATAGTTCTTTGCCTACTTTTTAGTTTCTTTTCAAATAAATGAAATTGCATTAATAGAAAATTTATTGTAAGAGGCAAAAACCAGAGACATAACTTAATCAACTTTAGTAGCATGAAATAGATTAGGGAAAAATGAGTATACATAAACAGTGATTGCACATACATGTAATTGACGCATATTGGGCAAATAGAAGACATGTTAGGGTTTTCACATGTGTTGCATCTGTGGTTTTTCCTTTGGGGATTTACCCTAAATGGGACTAATTAGCTTTCCTAATTCCAAAATGGAACTCTTTGACTTTATTTCTAAAAATGGGACCCCGGTGCTCCTTATTAAAAACATAAGATATTTTCATTCCTAAAATACCCCTCTTCTTTCTCGCCTAACATCCGATTACCCATCTTAATCTTAACGAATCTCAGTTCTCTCGTCCTCTTCTACTCTGCCTCTGCAAGTTCTCGTTTGAAAGATCATGGCAACTCTAAAAGTGAGCTTCGTGAGGATGGCAAATCACTTCAGACAAGGATTTCGAACCAAACAGTCTTAATTTATCGAAGCTTTAGATCGGAAAACGTTTGAATTGTTCTCAAATTTTCTGCTCGAGGTCAACTTTTTTACCAGGTATTCTGTCCGATTATTCAATTTTTTTACTTTCGCCTATTTTGCTCATTCGATTTCGATGAATTTCAGTTTGTTTTTCCTGTTTTCGAAGTGTTCTAATGCATCCTGTATCATTTTTTTAGAAGTTCTCTAATTTGTTCCGATCTCATTAATGTTCTAAGATTCATCAATTCGTTTTTGCAGTGTTCTCATATATTGTAATCGCTCTAATGGATCGTGTTTTGCTTATAATGGTCAAGTTGGATGGTATATGGGGGGCTGACTTTGTCTTCGTGAACAAAGCGACATTAGGTATTCATGTCCCATATTCTTGCACATATTCATCACTCTTAGACATCCTGAATGGCAGTATTGATCAAATCAAATGCAATCCACGTTTCACCATATCATACCTTGTTGAATCCTGTCCTCCACCTGTTAGAGTCAATGATGATGCTAGTTTACGCTTTTATATTGATCTTAAGATTCTTCAATCAGATTTCTCAAAGTATCCTCTGTGTATACAATTTGACAATGAGGAACTACCTAGTTATGATCCTGTTTTACCCGTTTCTACTCCAAATACTTTGGTCACACCTGCACCTTGTTCTAATGTTGATCTGTGCAATGCAAATACCGGTTTCACTGTTGTCCATTCTCTAGAACAATACTTGCATCCTGAAATATCTTCCCGTACTCCTGAAATTAGTTTTGATAATGTTCTTTCATCCACATCTTCCTTTTATGTCGATCAGTTGAATGTTTCCTTGAATAAAAATAACTTTGAAGAGCACAGTTCATGCAGTGGTGTACTTCCTGAACTTTTGAATGAGGATTCCCTTGATGAGGACTCACTTTCTTCTTCTTCTAAAAATTTAGAAAGTCATTCTTCACATGCATTTGTGTTGGACCAAAACTGTGATGTCATTACACGTTATTCTGCTACTAAGATTGTGCTCCATGGTATATACGAGAACAAGCAAGCTCTACTTTACCACCTTAGAATGTACGCGATCAATAATAGCTTCCAATTTTATTCAAAGACTTCAAAGAAGCATTTATTGCATGTGATGTGTTTGGACAAAGAAAATTGTAAATGGGCTGTTCGTGCTGTTAGGCTCAAAGGTGTTCAGCTTTTTCAAATTAGAAGGTATAATTCTTAATTCATTCATATTTTTGTAGTTGTTTCTGATGTATTTTAAGAATCTTGCATTATGTGTTTCCTATTTCAAAGTTTCATTGCTTAAGAATACTGTCACTGCACACCTTGTATTTCCAAGCATGTATACTGTCATCTCCTACGTTCTTCCACCTGTGTTTATATTATTTTCATTGTGTTCATGTACTGTCAACAATTACTGCAACGCATGTACCTTCTCCCGTACTTTTTATATGCATCAGTTTATATTTATTCGTTGTTCTTTACATATAGGTTTGATGTTGATCACACTTGCTCAATAGACTTTAGGCAAGGTGTTCGTCACAGGCAGGCCACTTCTGCAATGATTGCTGAGCTTGTAACTCAGCAATATATGGATGCTTCCAAAAAACCATATACACCTAAACAAATCAGGGATGATTTGTTGTTGCAGTATGGAATACCGATATCATACAAGAAGTCTTGGGCTGCAAAGAAATCTGCCATGAGAAAACAATTTGGTTCAGATTCAGAGGCATACCAATTGTTGCCGTCAATGCTCCATATGCTAGACCAAGCTAATCCAGGATCTGACGTGTTGCTCATTAGAGGGGATAATGATGTGTTTCGCTATTTGTTCATGTCACTTGCACCATGGAAGAGAGCATGGGAGCATTGCATTCCTGTTCTTATTATCGATGGTTCTTTTATGAAGGCGTACTACAAAGGGACATTACTTACCGCATGTAGCCAAGATGCAAACAAACAGATTGTGCCTTTAGCGTTTGCTGTATGTGATTCTGAGAGCACTGCGTCCTGGAAGTGGTTCTTTACAAGGCTCAAAGAGTGCCTTAAACATCGTGATGACATGTACATTGTGTCAGATAGACATAAAGGTATTATCAAAGCTGCAAAGGCCATCTTTCCACACGCTTCCCATGGATATTGTTGTGAACATCTGCGGCGTAATATGAGATCCAAATTTCGAGGTAAGTCATCCAACCATGGTTGGAAATTTAAAGCTGCATGGGAGGCTGCAACTGTGAATGAATGCTATCAATATTTGTCCATGTTGGATGAGGAAGATGCTAGGATTCGTCCGTGGCTAGAGAAGATTGGAACGGAAAAGTGGGCTCGAAGCATGGCAGTTAAGAGTCGATGGGGTGTTATGACCTCTAACTGTGCAGAGGCCATGAACAGCATGGATGCTAATGCAAGAGAGTACCCTGTCGCTAAGCTTTTGGATTTTATCCGAGAAAAAATGCAAACATGGTTTGCGGGGCGGCTGGAAGATGCAACTTCATCAACTACTCATTTGACTCTAAAGTTTGAGAAACATTTAGTTTCATTGCAGAGGGATGCTTCAAGGATGAGGGTAACAATCTCATTTTCTCTGTGTTTCACTTTTTGATTTAGTTACTGACAAGTGTATACTGTCACATTTATTACATGAATGTGACAGTGTTTCATTCACATTTCTATTGTACTGCCATGTTCTAGTTTATCCTTGTGTGGTATTGACTGTATTGTTCTATCTATAATTCACATATTTCATTAACCTTAATTTTTCAGGTTAAACTGTCATGCCGTTATGAGTTTGAAGTTGATAGACTTCGTAGATCTTTTATTGTCAATCTCAATGACCGAACATGCACGTGCCATATGTTTCAATTAGAGCATTTTGTTTGTGTACATGCTGTAGCTACCATAGGCACACGCGCTGGTGTTTCCTGCTATGATTATATATCATATTATTATATGAGACAGTCTGTGTTGAATACCTATAGTGGGGTGCAGCATCCAATTGGTGATGTATCTTCTTGGATAGTTCCACCTCATGTTCAAAGTATTGTTTGCAAGCCACCTTCACGTTCTAAAAGACAAGCTGGTCGACCAAAAACAAAAAGGATACCATCAGTTGGTGAATTCCGTGCAACCAAACGGCAAAAGTGTTCTCGTTGCCATTCTGCTAGGCATAACAAAAAAAGCTGCAAGAATGCACTTACAATTCATTCTTAAGAAGCTGTTTCGTACTGTATTTCCTTTTAATTCTAATTTTAGTTTTGGTTACATTTTCATTCCTATGTGAAGATTGAGATACATTTATTACACACTGTTGTGGTTCTTATATTTCATTATATTGAATATTGAAAATTGAATATATGGTATTTTGTTTCCTGAGATATCATTCTTAAAGGTACTGTCATTTCATGCACCTGTTGAAAATATTACTGCCTAATATTGCCAGTATTAATTATTTAAATACTGCCAACTAGTATTGGCATCCAATGCAATATCTGTCATTATTTCTCTATAAACTTATTACTTTATTCATAATGTCAGTATATAATATTATCTGTTGGGTTAAGGGCCCAAGCCGAGGTCCGGCCCACTAACCCATATTGCCAGACGCACGTCCAGCTAGAACACCAGGGCAGCTCATAGGCCCATGTCCCTTGGGGATGGACGAACGTCTGGCGTAGGGGGCTCAGGCCCAGCAGGCTCCTCCAACGAACATCTGTGCAGGGACAAGGAGCAGGACCACGGGCCACCAGGGATGGCGACGAACGTCTCCGGGACAAGCCTGTAGTCATCGGAGGGGACCCAGTCCACATGGTGAATATCTACAAGGCCAGGAGACGAACAGCCGGTATCTCCGGAGGGTCACTTGGAGCAATCCAACTCACTTCCCGGGCGGACGAACGTCCCCACTAATCAGGCGGGAAACCTAGATTCTGGCGGGAAGCGCATTAAATGCTGAAGATTTGGTGGTTGGGACACAAGCGGTCCACAGGCTTCCACGTCAGCATAGCTACCTGCCCATTGGCGGGTATAAATAGAAGCATTTATTTCATTGTAAAGGGTTGGCAACTTTTTATTCTTAGCACCCTAGCTATAGCATTCTTACTCGCAGCACTTCTACTGCCTTGTAAGACGAACGGCCGACGTGTCTTTTTTAGCAAGTAGATTGTACTTAGGGGAGTTATTACGAAGTTAATAATACCTACTTACATTGCCTGCTATTCCTCTTGTTTCCTGATCCATCTGAAGGTTGTTGGGCTAGATATCCATACACTCACTCCACTCGAAATCTTTGGGCTTACGTGTTGGGCCTGAAGGTTGAAGGAATAAACTTCAACATTGGCGCCGTCTGTGGGAAACTGAGCAAAAAGTTTCCAGAAACTCTCCCCAAAACAGCTACTAAATCTACCTACAGCAACGCGATGTCAGGAAGCAACAACCAGCGTGATCTCTCCGAGCGTCTGGAATCAAGCCGCCGGAATCGCGGCCAGAACTCGGAACTATCCGCAACAATATGGACCTCTGGAGGAAACGGGGGTATCACTGACCTCATTCCCCTGGAGGCCAGACAGGATCCCCGCCTCATGCGGGAACTCGCAGACACCATGCGTCGCTTGGCGGACGAGCGGGAGGCCCGAGATCAGGTGTACTCTGCAAGCACCCAGCGAACACCCCTCTCTCCCATACGCCGCATGCAGTCGTATGATGATACGACGGGATCCAGCGACCACCGGCCCTCTGTCCACGAGCGGCTAGGTGGGGGTTCAGGCTCCCGTGAAACGGGAGGGCGGACCAGGGTCAGCATCGCTGCATCCAGAGCTCTTACGCCATCGGTTCCTCGCCAGATCCCGCGGGCAGACGAAACCCCAAGGTTCAACACCGTTGGACGACGTTTCCAACGGCGAGGTGCGCATATCTTCAGGCGGCCGCACGATGCTGTGGCCGCTCAGCAAAATGCCGTTCCCGAGACCGCGCCCCCTGTGTCCCCCGGAAGGGCCGCACAGGATGCAAGGTTGGAGGCCATGGAAAGGCAGATAGCCGAGATGAATAGGCGGGCGGACGTTGGCTCGGCCACACCCTCTTTCTCTCTCACATCTCCCTTTACTCCACGGGTGATGAGCGTCGAGATTCCCCGGGATTGCAGACCCCCGGGAAACTTGGTGTACAATGGGGCCGGCGACCCAAAAGCCCATCTAATAAGCTACCAAGGGAACCTGTCCATGCTGGGAGCATCGGACGAGGCCATCTGCAGATTGTTCTTCGGCACCCTCAGGGGGCCAGCGCAAGAATGGTTCGGCCAGTTGAGGCCGGGCACCATCGACTCATATGAACAACTCTCCCGGCAGATCATGGCACAATTTGCCGCCAGTACCACCCCCAGGAAGGACGTCACGGCTCTCGCCCACATCAAACAAGGGCGGGACGAACCGCTGGCTAGGTTCCTGGTGAGGTGGAGGGACGAGGTCCTGCAGGTCGACGATCTGGACGAACGTCTGGCCACCAACATGTTCACCAGTGCGCTGGCCACAGGGGATCTATACCGGGACCTAAGGAGGAATCCCGGCACCAGCTACACCGAAGTTCTGGCTCGGGCCCAGAAGTATGCCTCCATTGAGGAGGAGATCAGGCAGCGGGACGGGGTTCCCGCGGCCCAGCCGAGGAAAATGGCGGACAGACTCGGACCCCGACCGGGATCCGGGCCCTCACCCCCAAGCAAAAAGAAGAGGGTGGACGGAGCGATGATCCCTTGGAAGGCTCCGTCCGGAGACAGCCAAACGCGGCCGGACGACCGCTATGTTCCGCTGGCCTACCCAGTGAGCCAAATCTTTGAGGCCATCAAAGATAAGGGCCTCCTTACGGAACCCCAGGATATGAAGAAGTATATGGGGCTCGACCAGTCTGCCTACTGCGAGTACCACCAGAGGACCGGCCACCTGACGGATAATTGCAGCCAGCTAAAAAAGGCAATCGACGAGCTGATCTGTCAGGGGTACTTGGGCGAGTTCACCCAGCTACTGAACAAAAACAGCCAGCAGAAACCGAACACGAGGCACAAGACATGGCGCCGCGACGATCGGCGCGAGGCAGAACCTCAGGACGTGGATTATCGAAGTGCAGATAAACGTCCGGAGGAATCCCTCGGCCCGAAGGGCAAGAAGAAGAAATTGGAGATCAAGGTGATCTTCGGGGGCGCTGAGACAGGGGATACACCCGCCGAGCGGAAAAAATTTGAGAGATCACTCTATGTGGGTTCCGTATCAGCACCCCCCACCAAGCGCAATAAAATTGAGGCAATTACCTTCGGCCCCGCTGACCTGCCAATGTCACCGGCGCCGCACAGAGACGAGCTGGTGATCAGCATGGACGTAAACGATGCCATCGTACGCCGCGTCCTTGTTGATACCGGGAGCAGTGTGAACGTCCTCTACTGGGAGGCTTTCGAGGGAATGAAGCTCAGGAAGGACATGCTGCACCCTCTGCGTACCCCGCTGTCCGGCTTCACCGGGGATTGCATTGACGCTGAGGGCACCATCACCTTGCCAGTAGAAATCGGCGACGGCCCTCACACTGCCCGGATCAGCATGACGTTCGTCGTGGTCCGCCTAAAATGCGCCCACAACGCCATTTTGGGCCGACCCGGCTTGGAAGACTTGGGGGCCATATGCTCCGTACGACATTCATGCATCAAATTCCCCACCGACACTGGAGTGGGGGTGGCACGTACGGACCCACATATGGCCAGGGCCTGCTACACGAAGGCCATGGAGAAGCTCAACGAGCGGGAGGCTCGGGTCAACAGCATCTCCGAGAAGGCCAAACAGGCCGACTTGGACGCTCATCTGGAACCAGCAACCCTGCTGGAGGAAATCGAGCTCGACGACCCGACGGACAGGAAGGTGTCCATCGGTGCAGATCTAGAGCCAGAGATCAAGGCGGGGGTCATAGCTGTCCTCCGAAGGTTCAGGGTCTTATTCGCCAGAGGGCCGGAGGACATGCCGGGCATCGACCCCAACCTCATATGCCATAGACTCGCCGTGCGGCCGGACGCCAAGCCTGTACAGCAAAAGAAAAGGTATATGGCGGCCGACCGACGCGATTTCATCAAGAAGGAGACGGCAACTCTCCTCAGCATTAAACACATTCGGCCGGTCATCCACGTGGAGTGGCTGGCCAACGTGGTACTAGCCCCGAAGGGCGACACTTGGCGGATGTGCGTCGATTACTCGGACCTGAACAAAGCTTGTCCGATGGACCCTTACCCTGTTCCGAGGATCGACTTGCTGGTGGATGAGACGGCAGGCTGCGAGCTGCTCAGCTTCATGGACGCGTTCAGGGGTTACCATCAGGTGTTCATGCACCCCGATGATGCCGAAAAAACGGCGTTCGTCACGGCGGACGGCGTGTATTGCTACATCGTCATGCCGTTCGGCCTGAGGAACGCCATGGCTACTTTTCAGAGGATGATCGGGATGTTGTTCAAAGACGTACTTGGGAAGACAATGGAAGCTTACGTGGATGACATCCCGATCAAGAGCAAGAGAAAGGAGGACCATGTCCAGGACATGGAGAGGGTCTTTGGCATCATGGAGAGGGCCAACATGAGGCTCAACCCGAAGAAATGTGCCTTCGCCGTCAGGGGCGGCAAGTTCCTCGGCTACATGATGAGCGAGCGGGGAATCGAGCCTAACCCGGAGAAGGTGAAGGCAATTATGGACATGGAGGCCCCGAAGAACCTAAAAGATGTGCAGCGCCTCACCGGGCGTCTGGCGGCCCTGAGCAGATTCCTGTCCAAGCTGGCTGACAAGGCGATTCCTTTTTTCCAGATCATGAAGAAGGCCAATCCCTTTGAATGGACCCCGGAGTGTCAGGCTGCTTTCGAGGATTTCAAGGTATATCTCTCCTCCCCGCTCGTCCTCACCAAAGCGGATCCCGGGGAGAGACTGTACATGTATCTGGCAGTGGCCGATCTGGCTGTAAGTGCCGTGCTGCTGAAGGAGTCTGAAGGAATTCAGCGACCGATATACTTTGTGAGTAAGGCGCTGAACGGCCCCGAGACGAGATACACACTGATGGAGAAGACGATCCTCGCCTTGATTGCATCCATCAAGCGCCTGGCGCCGTATTTTCAAGCACACCCGGTGACCGTCTACACAACGCAACCCCTCGCCACAATCCTCAGAAATCCAATGGCGAGCGGGAGGATAACCAAGTGGTCCTTGATGATCGGCCAGTACGACGTGGACTTCAAACCGAGGCCGACGATCAAGGGGCAGGCACTAGCGGACTTCATTGCAGAATGCACCGCACGCACCGAGGACGAAACCCATGACAGCAACGACTTCGACAATTGGTGGGAGATGTACACCGATGGGGCCTCGAG